AAAAATTTTTCCAGAACCCTCTCAACATAATCTTTAAATTTAGGGGCGGACATTAGCAACTTTTTTTTTCGACCCAGTCTAATGCTTATCTCTCTCCGCGCAAAGCCACTTCTCTTCATCGCGAGTGCAAATGCTAGTCATACTTCTTCTGTTGAGCCAAATTGTGTACACTACTTGCCACGATCGCGCAATACAGGCACACGACGCTACGCGAACGAGTACAGAAAATACTCCACGCTTGCTTGTACCCTGTGGGGAAAATCTCTAGTTCTGAACTGGGGCGCTTCTAGTACATTTAGACCCAGTACTGGTTCGCTATAAATCTCTTTTGCATGCAAGCAACTGGCGAATTTAACATGGCGATGTCCTAGGAAGTGTCAATTGCCGCCCGCTGCATCCCTTTTTCGATAGTTTCGAACTAGTCCCAAATTCTATAGTTTCGAACCAGTTCTGAAATCGACAGACGAAAGAAAAAAGTATCATGATTTTTCAATCTTTTTAGTTCTTCCATGTGTGCGATTTTAAGTTATCTTGGAAGAAATGTGTTTTCAATTTGAAATTAAATTTGTTTGAATGATTGTAAGAAATGTACGTTTACATACCTTTAGCTGTAGCTGAGTTCCCAACCATTTCTAAACTCGTCACTTTAGATATCGCTTTCTAGTGAAAAAAACTGAAAAAATTAGTCTTTTAAAAGTACCACTTTTCGCTGATTTTGGACTGGTGGGGATCTAGTTCATATCGGACTAGTTCCTTTTTGGCAATAAAGACCTAGTACGGAACTAGAAATTTGTGTCACTAGTCCGCGGTTTCCCTGCAGGGTAGTAATCGCAAGTGCTTGTGTATTCGAAATTCCTCGTCGTATTTGGTCGTTTGCGACTTGACTGGCAACGCATGCGCACAATTAATAAATTTTCATAATGGCGCTTGACAACGTACGTATATTAATATTTAGGCTGTGTGCGTGTACGTCTAAATTGCTACCTATAAAGAGGAAAATCCTAAATCACTGGAAAGTGTGGGCAATGCAGTGAATAGGAACAATTTAGAGTTTTTCCGAGCATACTTTTCAACCTAAATTGAACTGTGAAATATAAATAGGCTCGAGATTAAGCGAACAATTATTTTTTTTAGAAGTTTTAAGTAATTTTTATAT